CAAGTGGCAACATGGCACAAGACTGAAGTGCTTGTGCACATGGAAACATCCAAAACCATTCCTCTTTGTCATAATGATGATCGTCATTAAGCGCTGCAGTCACAAATAATCAACATGCACATATGCGAAATAGAAGATATTAAAAAATTGATTTGCTATCAGATATGCTTGAAACAAGCATTTCTTACATACTATTTTATAGAACGCTTAGACGTAATTTTCATAGAGATCTATATGATTGTATATACGAATCTCCTACTCCCATAGACCTATCGTTGATGTTTACGTAAGACTGATCACATTCGTTTGTGTTTATTGTTTAAAAATGAACAGAAAAACATATAAGCTTATGGCTAATTTAAATCTAATATTAATTATTTTTTGTCTGTGAATGGATTTTAGTTTTCTAGTAATTTTCTTTTAATCGAGTACACATTTCTTATACGTAATTATAGATGATAATCAAACGACAATTTTGATGAACACAAAAAAGGGAAGAGCGCTGCTGAACTTAGAAGTGATTAGATATATGAGTTGTTTTTTGGTTAGCTTAAGTCGAATGTACTTAATTCTCTAATTGTTTATTTAAAAAATAGCTGAACATCTTCTCAAAATTTTCTTTGAAACAAAGTTATAATGATCATATTAGTCTTTCTATATGCATATATATATACTACTTCTCTGGTTGTCAATTTTTGGGCAATAGTTACAATAGGTATGTGTCATTAAAATTGGTGTAATAAATACAACTATTTCTCTCTTCATTTCTATTTTCTTCTAGCTCTCTCTCCCTCTCTTTCTCTCTCTCTCTGTTCTTTGCATAGTCCTCTGTTTCCTTTCGCAGTTCTTTTACTTGCGTTACTCGTCTACTCTTCCATGCCTCCCTATCTTTTTGTGTGCTCTTGATGCTTGCTCACTCTGTTTAATAAGATATTTGTTCGCATTGGTCTGCCTGCCTCATGCAGCTCGCATTTTCCTCTTCCCGTTTCCCCTCTGTCATTTCGTGCTTTTCCACTATAATAAACTGAGAGAATAATGTTAAAAAAAATAGAAGAAAATTGTCATGAGTGACGAGCTCGCTTTCGTTGAGCTGACAGGACGAGTATGAGTACCGAGGTTTTCATCCTTCTCGACCGAGAGTACAATAGGGAGTTACTCTACATTCTCTTCTTGTTTTTTTCATCATCACCAACAACAACATCATAATTATCAGCGTTTTTCTTTCATTAGTCTCTTTAGTTTGCTTTTCTGTTCTATTCTATCCCTAGAACTTCTACTGTTTCATTTGTAAATCTGTTAATAGATTTTTAAAAAGGATAGGCATTCCCGTTGTGACGAGCAACGAACGACAAAACAAACAAGAAACAAATGAGATGCACGCTCATTTTTCTTCTTTTTTGTTTTTCCATTATAGCAAGACATGTTTTCAACCGAGTGGATGAAAAATGATCTAGGTGTCATAGTTATTTTTCTCTCGACAAAAGCGATAATTATGTCGATAATAAATGTAGAAATTGCAATTCAATCGCACGCTTGCGTTTCTATCAGAACAAGTTTTTTGTGAACATAGTCAATATATCCAACAGAGCTACGGCGGAAATAGAAAAGCTCTTTAATCGAATTTCTCTGATCGACAACTCTACGAATATGTTGAATATTTCTATTTGTTTATTATTAGGGTGTACTGTTGTTTTTTTTTGAATTATACATCACATTTACTAAGGAAATAACATATGATAGGAGCAAAAAGGCTGCAAAAATAAGCAGAACATCCCAACAGATTACTTTCGTGATTGATTATCACGGCAACATCGCTTTATATTTATAGGGTGGATCTAATAATGCAAATCTATGGTTTATAAGAAAAAGCCTGCTAGTCATCAATTATTAATTGAAGATTAAGAGACGTCTGATAATAAGAAAAAAAGCTCATCTTTATTAGAAAAAGAAAAGACCTTTGCATGTTAGATGAATCTGTCAAGCACTGTCAAGGAAATGAACGGCATGCGTGTTATTAACAAAGAGCAAATTGCAACTTTCTGATTTATAGGCTCTCTCATTGATAGTTAAAAAAAGATTGAAATATTAAATTTATTAGATTTTGAAATTGCCCACAAATTGAAATTTCAGCAAATATCTGAACAGTTGAATTCATCGGGTAAAATTATTTATTTTTTATTTATAAATAAGAATTAAAATAATCCTAGTTTATCATATTTACATCAAATATTCTATTTTATTAGGTAAAAAGAGCGGAAGAAAAGCATACGCATTAATTGTTTTAAACTAAAGAAAATCAAGAAATAGGTAATTTTTAGAATAAACATGAAATATTGTTATTTTTTTCTCAAGTTATCATCAATGAATTCCTTGATAATTTTCATTAGTAATCCTTCTCTTTTTGGAATATTTTAACAAATGGTGATGCCATTAAATTTAGTCTAGCTACAATTTTTCATTATTAAAAACTTACCGAATGAAGGCACTCGCTCCCTTTCTGCTGGTCCGTTGCTTAACAGTGATTCGCTCGCATTCATGATCCACAAAAGCACGAACAGAATTTTCAAATAGTTCAACTATAATTAGAAAAAATAAAATAAAAAGCATAATTCATAATAATTGTTTTCCATTTAAGACACATCTGGTATGTGCATTTACGAGATAGAGAGAAAACAACCTGCCATTCTACCATTACTTTAAAATATTTTCTAAAAGCCAACTGATAATTTCACTTTCGAATTATGAATTACTATTCTTTTATTTTGGTTTAATATTTTTTCTCTTAAGAACATTCAAGAAGGAAATAATCAAGGGTATTTTTCTATTTATGAACCAAAAATGATTCTTTATTTCATGAGAATGATTTATGAATTGAGCACGACATTTTGAAATTTGTATTTATGAAGGCTTTCATCTATAAAAAAAAAAAGAAAGAAAATCTTTTTGCAACTATTGAATCGGTGTATCTATAGTTAAAAATTGTGTCAATCAATTGCTGTAACTATGTAATAGCTATGTGCAAGAAAATTCAATTCTCAATCATAACATAGACAAATAATATTGATAAAAGCCGAGTAGTTTCTGTGATTAAAAAAGCGTGCATTGAGTACCTTTGTTCGTTTCTACTTAATCACGATACCCGAGAAAGAAATTTTTCTTTAAATAACAATAAGCTCTAAAGAAGATTAGTTTCTAAAAAGAATACTTGATTTTACTGTAATATTAAACCTGTTTTTCCCTTTGCGACATAATTTGACTTTTGTCTTTTTTTTCCTCAATAGAACAAGAAATGCAATATTGTTTTACATGTCTTTTAGCCATTTGACAAATATATGAATAGGATTATTACAATAAAATAACGGAGACAATTAAATCTGTATATATTTATATTGATGTAAATGATTGCTTTCATATGATTGATCGAGAAAACAACGCGCATAAAATTAAATATTATCTTTCTACTCCACATATTGCATCAATATTGGACTATAATATAAAATAATCATTTGTTCATGCGTACTATTTGTTTATCAGAAAACTAGTTGATAGTATTTTTTTTAAATATTCTGTTCAATAAATCATTATTGAAAATGATTGCTTATTTCTTCCGTTCATGATCGAGATTCAATGACGAAAGTTGTAGTTCGAACAGTTCCGATCACAGAAGAAAAATAACTCTTTGAACAGATCATATTGCGTTATAAAAAAAGAATACTTTCAAACATTTCCACTGACAGGAACTGATTCGTTGTGACAGTTCAGACCTAGACTCGGAGCTATCTGTAAAGATTTTGTTTTGTTTTCCAGGACAACATCTCAGTAGTCGAACAAACGTTTCTTTATACCCGGAGGTGCCATTCTCCAAAGCAGAAACAAAAAAGTGTCTTAAATCCGGAAATGTCTTTGTCGAAAATAGAATAAAGATTCTTTCGGCAAGCCAATTCTTATGTTTCTGTTAATTGATAGCATTCCATTTTCATATTAGAGATTGTTTCAAAAAATCGATTACATTCCACATTATTGTCGTCACTTATTCTACCACAATGCTTCAAGTATTCATTTCACACATGAGGGCTTTCGCTACTTGTTAGTGAATATTTGACTTATTTTCAAAATGAAGGTTGCTGATTTTGAAATTTCACATTTATGAAATATTCTAAACCAGCAATATCTAACGGACTTGTTCTCGCCATCGTGGATCAATTGAGCCACCGTGTTTTTCAAAATACCTTCAATTAAGTCACGACAGTCTCTACATTAGTTTGATCGTGTCATTTAAGCTTAATATCAATGCTGTTAATTAATCCGTCAGCTGTTGTTGTTGTTGTTGTTGCTGCTGAAGATAACATACACAGTTATACTGAAAATGAGTGCATGTTGCGCATGCATCTGTTTCCGGAGTTTGTTCATTTTTTTTATACTAATGATTATATCCGTCTGAGCAACGCATTCAGGCAAATTTGCTACTTTATCATGCAACTAGCATGTTGACTATATTCACTGCTATATCAAATGTTAATTTCTGTTAATAATGTGCTAATTGATTTCAATTAGTTTCATAAAAATAATATGTCAAAGGCAGTAATGGCCGTTTTTTAGTTTAAACAAGATCTTTTCATTCGGTAACAGCCGGAACTAGAGGCATGCCCTTAATGAACTGACATGTCTTATGGTATGATGTAAAACTATGTCAGATACTATTAAAAATAGGTCAGTTTTTGAAGTTAAAGCAATACTGAATCTATCGACCTCTACTGATCATGCCAGTTAGTAAAACATACTTGAACAATAGCGCCCTCTCTGTTTAAATAATTAGTACTTCTGTTAAAATAAATCTAATTAATTTTTTTCCATAAGAAATTTTCTGTCATATGTTATTAATTATTAATTCTGACCAACGCAATATTTCATCAAGTTGATCAGTCACCCGCGAACAAAGGTTTACTATTGTTCAGATTTTGTCATTCGTAAAGTAGTAAATAATTGTTTTCCTATCAAGCATGAGTTACGTACGATCAGTAACATCAAAAACCAGTAGTATTTCAAATGTAAAACCTTCATTATCAAGTTTACCAGAATCAAAATCTCGTCTACAATCCAAACCGTATTTTCAGTCTACATATTAAATATCTCTTTTTAAATTCTTATTTCATTTAATAGACCAACTGTTCCTTCTAATACTTCGAAAACAGAAATCAAGATGCAGTTATCATCGATTCCTAGTCGAAAGGATCTTGATGATATTGTAGAGTAAGATTATTTATTAATCGCTTTTTTGTTTTGAAAAATATATTTTGTTTATGTTCAGTAATCTGACAACTGTAGTCAAACGATCACAACAAATATCAACGCCAATTAAGTGTTCACATGTATCTAGAAATGTTCGTCGAACAACATCATTGCATATAGCGAATCGACAAAATCTTTCAAACTCTTTTGTCAAAGCATCTAACTCTCATCATGAGACATTAACTGATTCGAATTTAGATATATCTCGATTGAATGCGTCACGTCATTCCTTACGAAATCTTGAACGGTTTTCTGGTATTAAATGTTCGTTACCTTCAGCAACACCTACAGTACCCAATACCTTCAAAGGTCTAGAAAAACATACTACCCCAACTAAAACTAAACAAATAAATATGTCGATATCATCAATTGTTAGTTACTATTTTAGCATCTTTCTTAATTAGTTATGAAGACAATACTTCTAGGATAATCCAATAACACCAACGGCAACAAATGGAAAAGTTAAAAGTCCATGGCGATTACGTTTCGAAAAATTTTTAAATCATCAAGAACTCTCACCCTTATCGTCGCCAAATGAAACAATTGCTTTTCAAACAGCTAAAGTAAATAGCTACTTAGTTTTAATGATCTTGAAAATTTATTTAATATCTTTTTCATGTAGACTTCATCATTGAATAAAGAAAATCGTACGCCATCATTTCGTCTTTCTACACGAAGAACAAGTAAAATTCATTCGATTTCAAAATCGAGTAAACTATTATTTCTGTATATTCATATGGAAGCTATGCATATTCTATTTTTCTAGATGACTAAAATGTGATTAAGTACGCCATTGTTTCAACATGGATAACTAAACAATGGTGCAATATAAATATTATTATTATTATTATTATTTCTTTTTTGTATACTATTTATCAGATTGTGAATAAATAAAATATGGAAATGAAAAAGTTTATTCTTTTGCTCATTTATTTTGTTATGCTTCTTATTCATCTATGCATTCTATAAACTTGTGCTTCTGATGTAGTATGATATGAAGAGGAAAAAACAAAAAGTCTATAATACGAGAGGATGAATATTACCTCGATCAGAAATTGTTATATTTTGTTTGAAACTAAATCGAGGAAGACTTGAGCACGAATTTATGTAAGCCGATGGTCTAGAGTACATAGGATGAACGGTTCAGACGAAAACTCGAATCCTATCAATACCGATCGAGATAATATCATACGAATTATGGATTTTGCCAACAAGCGTTTCGTATACGCTAAATCAAGTTAACTGTCATCGACTGTCTAAATACTTAACGTAGAAAATAAATGATTGTTGTGATTGAATATGGCGATAGATTCAACAGTTACAGAAACAAATATTCATCGAAATTTTTTGTTCGTGCCGTATGGCTTTACGATGTTCACATGAGAAAATAAAAAAACGTCGGCAAGTATGTCTATTTTCTGTTTGAGCAATTTTGCTGTTAAGACAGGACTGTATAACAATCATTAATATAATTCAACACCAACGAATTAGTGAGAGTACTCATGATCCAATTAATTAACGATGAAAGTCATCGATGTCTCCTGGGAGTGAACCAGATAAACCTTCACTATTTTTAATCAAACGAATGGCTTACAAAAAACTCAAAGTCACTTTATATCTGTCAAATTCGCACAGATTATCGTGGAGATTTGTCACTTAGAATAATAAATAGGCTCGTTCTATGATTATTACTGAACAAATTTAGAATACGACCAAAAAAAAAGATATATATATATATATGACGATACATAATTTTACAATATTTTTTACATTTGAAAATGAACGACAAATATTAATCAGTTTGTAGTAATAATTGGAATGCAAATTTCATGTTTTCTAAAGTAAGGAATTGTGTATGGAGAATTGCAACCAAAATATCGAACGTCAGTTTTATTCGTTGACAATTGAATGCCATCTCGATGAGCAGCTTGTCGAAGTTCTTTTTCTTTTTCACTGTTAACATGGACATATTAAATATAATACAAACCATATCACGAGAATAATGTTGTTAGACAGTTTCAATCGTTTTATCGTTAGGTGTTGGAGGTTGATCTAATGATTTAAATTTCGACGGTGCCACTGTGAATGACATTGTACGTTTCACAAAACTATCAGATTCAGATTCAGTTTCTTGCATTATAACTGGAGCTGCCGTTGAAATTTTTGTTTCTGCATTATTATTTCCACATTTATAAATTTGAATAATGGAAAAAATCCAGCTCCCGTATTCGACAAGAAATCGGTATCTTTCGTAACTTCGTATGAACTTTGTGCCATTAATTGTTTCGAATATCGACGAATTTCATAACCATCTTTCTTGGCAATGACATCATATGGAGGAGTTTCACTATTAATCGCACCGAACATGGTTATATTAACTTGAAATAAGCAAATAATAAATATTTGTTTCGAGCGGCTTTACTCTACTAGTTTTATAGGCACTATCTATGTAGTAGTTATGGCCATATGATTCTATTGGATGTGTAGCTGTCTAAAAAATTGTCGTTTTATAATTTTACTCTTCTTTTCGAATAAAAAAAGCAAAAGAAACGTGTGCTTAGCAGCGAAGGTCGCTACAGTAAATGCTTCACATCCTGGTGTGTTTCGAATTAACTATGTAGTGTATGAAGTGCTTTTTTCTTCTACTTTTGTATAAAGCACATAGCCGGGCATCATAAGAATGCTCTTACGAAACTACTGGGATAATCAAAAAATCGTGGATTTGTAATATGATCTGTACTCATTCACATTACTTCATGCAAATGAAATTTGACCAAGAGGTTCATTTTCGGCATTAACTTGATAAATAAAATATCTTATTATAGCTTTTCTACAGGAAGTTTGATGGCTGACTAAACTTATACTTCTGATTACATCAAATAACAATGACCTATGAACAATGAAAACGATTTTTCTCTACATGGATCTTGAAGGTTTCTTTATAGTTTATGCACTAGGAAAATTAAGAAACGTTTCCTCTTTTATTTTGAACTAGCATTTCTGTAGTCCGTCGCGTACGTATGCTAGCCACTATCGTCTATTCATTTACAGCTGATCTAAGATAATGAATCGATCAATCGAAATCAATCTGTAAGAATAGATCGCTAAGTAAGAATGGAATTTTCTCAGTGATGAATTTCATCATGTCGACATAAAAAGTATTCAAGATTTCTCTGAATTGTAGATTTTTCATAGGAGATTCAGACTCTTGCTTCGCATCGCACTCGCATACGAGTGCAACTCGGATACCATCTAGTTTACATTAGTTAATTGTCGTTGCTAGGCTAGAGAAGATATACAGATTAATATCGTGCTAATGCTGAATAATAGAATAGAATAGAATTCTGGAAAAAATCTTAAATTTTATGAGTATACCATAGTACCAACTGATTATGAGATTTCTAAGACAAAAATAACAAATGCATCCATTGTTACGTTGATCAAAATTCGAAATACCAAGAAGTCCTAGAAAGATATTTGCAGGTGTCGTTTGTAAAAGAAAATTTTATTTCTTTGTCATGAAACAAAAATTAAAAGAAAAGTTTGAAAACTCATTCTGCTTTGCATTAATTATTAGGTGTAATCTTAAGCATTTGAACTGCATGTGATTCAATGTTTGGTGATGTATAACTACCGTAGAACATGCCAATATCCCTCTGAGCCCATAAGTCACGTACTAGAGCCCATCGATTAGCCGACCAACCCAAATCGGTCCACTTGACTGTGATTACTTCGCTATTAGTACTGTTGCGATTGAGCAATAGAACAGCTTGAGATTGATCGACTAGTGGACCCGCCCATATTTCAATCTTTTGTTGAACAGTCAAGCATGGGCCATTTTCGATGTTTCTCACTGAACCATCTGTTTTATTCCATATCCATGCTTGCCTATCTCGTTGATTACACGAAGAAACAGTTACAAAACGATTATTTCTGCCGTTCACGTTCAAACTAGAAAGCATAATAAATTTGATTATTTAATATCTTCTCTCTCTCTCGCTCTCAGATCAGATATAAAAACATAACTAACCATATTCCATTGAGTTGAGAAACAATTGTTTGATCGTTATTGTTTACTATCCACTTTTGATATAGCTCTTTCGAATTCGCGTTGTAACACGAAGTGGCAATGAGATTATACATGTCGCTGGAACTATTAGATTTTTCAATTGTTAAACACTGCCCATCAATATTTGATCGAAGTTTACTATCATGTGGATCGTATGTCCATTTTTGATGTTCTTGTATGCTTTTCTGTGAGGAACATTCGCTTGCCAGTACCATATTTGAAGAATTTGGGTCTTGATACGAAGAAATAACAATTTTCTTACCTTGTACGCCTAACGGATCTTGATTGATGGCGATCACTTCAGAATTTAAATAGATATTAAGAATATCTCGACTCATTGTTCTCACATCACCACCAATCAGAAGTGGAGCTTTGCTGATAGCCCAAAGAGAAAAATAAGAGATATATTCAGTGGTTGTCATACCACCATTGCCTATTCGTAACACTACAAAACAAAAAAGAAATATTCAAATGTTTAAAACAATTGATACTCTCGAAAGAAGCTCACTATCAGGATCATTCCAACCACCAGGTCCTGCTGCATCTGCAAATTGATTGTTCTAAATACGATCGAAAAAAGATTTTACAAAAATAGAACTTTCATATGTTACTATATCCATAGTGCTTATCATTGACTCCCACGTATCTGAAATATCTCCTGCTGTTCGCCAACTATTACCAACATCTGCAGCCCACAGGGCCGGTGTGTCAACGCCCCATTCTATTTGAAAATTGGTATTGAGGAATAGTGATTTCATTTTTCATTTTTTCCATTGTCGACATACTCACCACACAATGAGTAAAAAATTGGTCTTCCGGTAGCATTTAATGCATCGCGCATAATCGGATATCTTACTTCTGGTTTAGTACCATCTGTATTACAATTATCATACTTTAAAAAATCTACACCCCACAAGGCATATGTAGCTGCATCTTCTTTTTCATAACCTAACGAACCAGGCCTACCAGCACATGTCTTATATCCAGCATCTGATCAGTTCATGAAATAAAGATAAGGATTCAACAACAAACAAAATACAGGCCATAATCATACCTGAGTATAAACCAAATTTCAGTCCATGAGAATGCACATAGTCAACTAGAACTCGCATACCATTCGGAAATGCTTTTGGATCAACTTGAATGGTACCGTTAGTGTCACGATCAACTTGCCAACAATCATCTAAGTTGACTAGAAATTTTTTTAAAAAAAGTACGTGAAAAGAAAATATCTACTAAAAACTGTTCATAACAAACTGTATTCATAGCCAGCCGCAGCCAGACCACTATTTATAATTACATCAACTGTATCTTGTATCATTTTTTCTGTATAGTTACACCAAAAATTATACCAACTATTCCAACCTGAAATTAATTAAAAAGTTTATGTACACATAAATATAGATTTTTAATATCGTTTACCCATCTGAGGAGTTTTTCCAAGACCATTATTAAGTCCGTAGGACAAGTCTACTACCACTGTGAAAAGAAATAGAAATCTTAATATTATCTTCATATTAACCAAGTCAACATTGAATGGAGAAAAGTGTGCCCATAGACATTCAATTTATCTTTTGTTGCCTTAAGATAACCATAGATAACTATCTTATTATCAATTCTTTCTAAATTGGTGCCTTCACCACAGTAGCAAAGCCTATCCTTCTTATTTCAATTTAGTTGAACAAATAACAATCTTTGGTTCGGGCAGTTTGTCTCTGTGTCATGGGCAGTTGTCAATATGATTCGAATACAATTTTATGTCAGAGACTCATCATTACTAAGATACGAGAAGTTGCAATTAGTCTGATTATGTATTAATTCTTCATAAGACTTGATAATGAATATTTTATGTCAAAAACAATTATACAAAAAAAAGAGCCATTTAAGAAAATCTTCGTCAAATCGACTGTACTATTTTTTCAAAACTTCCAAAAACAATCTTTAGATTGAGTTGAGTAAGATACCGTTTGAGTTGCACATTGATTGGAAAATATTCAATAAAATCTTTCAAGTAGTTTAATTCAATAATTTTCAAGAAAGATGCGTTTTATTTGATCTATGCAATCGAACTTTTATATATCGAAACAATCGTATAATACCAATACTAATGAATCCACTCAGAAAACAAAATCCTGACCCAGCGACAGCATAGAACGCATATGGAGCTTGTTCAATACCATTTACTAAATTCATTCCATATATTCCTGTAATAAAAGCACCTATTCCAAATCCCATCATTAGAATATTGATTTTAATTTCAAATGTAAGAAGTTCGTTTAGAACAGCATTAAGAATAAAACCAATCGCACTTTCAATTGTTCGAACTGAATCCGACAGATCAGACATTGAACGACGTACTTCGGCCATTTCTTTGGTGCATGCTTCAAGTAACAATTCTACTTGAGTATGATCAGCTATATCTCGTTTGCGATTATCAGTAAGATACATTCCGATCATGTCTTCGTTGTGAGCAAGAACCTCAAGAATTGCTTCATGTGCAAGATCAGCATGTCGTTTATATTTATCCACTTTTTCTTTCAGTAAAGCAAGTTCACGTAAACTTCCAAGAGTAATACGAGTGTAAGCTTGCTCACGAATCTGTTGAAATTCATTTAAAAGCCCAGTTGTTTTTAATTCTAATTGATGAGCAACAGTTTCTAAATTAATTTCAGTAATTCGAAATTCAAATGGCATCGAATCAATACTGTTCAATTGATCAGTAGTAAATCGTTTATTATAAAGTTCATGGGCATATCTGATATTTCCTTGATAAGCTCGAGCAATACGTTCCCAATCAATAGTATCTTTTGTTCCAGATGATCGTCGAAGAATTTTTTCTGCAGACGGTACGAAAAATATACTTCGATCTAGTTGAACCAAACTTCGAAGTCTTCGAAACGAAAAACAAATAAATCGACTTTGACGTACGTCGATTATTGGAACATTAGTAATGATATCAGTATCAATCTTTTGTAAATCTCTTGGTTCAAGGCCATATTGTTGACACACTTGTGCACGATCAAATGGGCCTCGATGAACTTGTAATGCACCGTCTTTGGTTAATATAAATATATCACAATTTAATTTGCGTGAATTATTTGATGAAAATTTTTCGTTTACTTTTGCGTTAGACGATTGAAATCGCGATGAAATTCCAGAATATGGCAAAGTAGTGAATAGATAGTGAAATTTTCTTTCAATCGATTGAAATAAAACTTTTTTGTCGTAAGTTCCATATAATTGTTTTGATAATAGAGATAAAATAAATCGCATAGTTTATTATATGTAAACTTTGCCTTGTTTTATTGTACCAGTCATCGTCGACAAGCCAATAGAGGCAACCATTCGTAATTCATTTCGTCCTAGATACTGACAAATACGTAAGCACAACGCTAGAGAGGAAAAAAACAAGCATTTTTTACACAACAACAACACAGAACGAATAAACTATAAAGAAACGATGTAATTGTTGGCGTATGTAAAACACATCCAAGTATCTTTGCTAGACGCTTAATACGTTAGACAAAGCAATTTGTGTGAGTAGGAGAATGTTACTATAGCTGCAATTTATTTCAATCTGATATTATTTTAAAAATCATAGATAAAAGTGAAACTTTTCCATTTCCAGCTTGCCATAGAATCATTTTTTAGCCTGCGGCCTTGAAAAACATATACCAAAAATTATACATTCATGATATTTTACATAGAGTACGACATATTCGCTTGTAAGCATTTTTCTAGAGACCATTAGTAGTTTTATTGCATAGATGTTTCATGAAAATGGCAAATAATAGCAAAAAATACACGTTGTGATAGAATCATCTATATTATTTAAGCTGTCAATATCTTTGACATAACTGTACAAACTAAAAATTACACAGAGAATACAATTATTTTAAATGAAGTTGTAAATATTTTGAGAATGCTTAAATAATCATAGTTGAACTCATTTTCTATAATTTATATTTACAAAAAAAAATATAAAAACAATTTATTTTCCATTGCAGAATTGTTTCGATTCGAATCGTAACAATTTGTTTACATACAAAAACATAAAATTAGTAATTATCAACGATTGACATAATACGTCGACAGATAGATTCTTTCAGAGAGCTACACGAAGTAAATTTATTTATTTACAACCAATTACTTTATATCACTATAATAAAAATAGAAGGCAAATATTAGATCAAATCTTAACCTGTCAAACGTAGCCTCTACATATAATCGTCGATGATTTAAAGCTTGTGTCTGACATTTTGCAGTATAATCAGGCAATTGATATGGACGTATATACACCAAGGAGTAAAGTCATCAAGAAAAAAAAACAGAAGGTGCAACACAGAAACCTTACCAGTAGCCATCTTTGTGTATGGAGTCCTTTAATGAAACAAATACCACTGAGTTAGATTTTTAACAAAGATTTATGCAATGAACATGGTAATTATGTCCATTTAAATCAATGAACTTAAAAAAGGTACACCTTCCGTATGATTTGTCATTTCAATGCCATTTTCCTATTTCATAAATCCTTGGCGAAGAAGATTGAACGGAAATAATATTTATTCTAAATATCAATCATACACTCACATAAATATCTAACCAAAGTATTGCTGTGATACTATCATAAAATATTTTCTTCTGAAGAATATCGTTGTTGAAAACGCTTACCAACGGACTTTAAAATATTCACCTTTGGAATATATTGATTTATCATTCACTGTTTGCATATTGGAACCCTAAAACCTGCATTAATACGGAATCATGAATAAACTGTAGTAATTGCGTGTAAATCCAATAATCTCATTCGAATATATACATTATACGTTTTTTAATGATGAAAAACGTAAACATATTTGGAAATGATTTAATGGATATTGTATTTGTACATATGATTGAAGTTCATAATGGCAAGTAATTGATAAGCCATTCGAGTATTAAAACAAAGTTTTCGTCAACCACTAAACGGACTTGATTGTTTGTAATCTTTCTGTAAAAAATGATTATTAAAAGTGATTTTAGTAGTCACAGACATCAATTGACGCCAGATACAAACAGAATATCCAATGATTCAAGTGCAAGAAAAAAGTGTTATGTGAATAATATTCAAACACATGAGGAGCCTTACGTTGATCTCCGTCTGCTCAATATTTATTGGCCTATTTTTCTAATGAAAAATAAAACAAATATTTTCATGTCTTTCCTAAATACGTAATATGATGTTTCTCACTGTTTTTACGTTTACATAGGTAATTATCTTTACATCTTGTTGATTGTAGATCTAGAGGGGTGAGGGAGCGAAACTCCTGGCGTGTACAACACAATAGTTGACTATGGTAAACAGTAAAATTGAGATAAATAAGAATTGAGGGTGTGGATGCAGATTCAATAATTTATTTAATAATAAGTAGAGAGAAAGATAGAACTTGATAAAGAAGCGAATAGGTTAGATTGTAAGAGAAGAAGTATGTCTTATGTGTGTTTGTCAACACGAAAATTCTTATAAAGAAGAGGATGTAACTAATAACGAAACGAAAATATTTAGCGGGGGCAATAATAAAAAGAGCGAAATGACAGAAAATAAATAAATATGCCTTACATACAACAAGCATCACGACAAGAACAGTAACGCTGCTGTCGTTAAACACACATCGTGAACACTAGTCAATATATGTATTGAAAAAGTTCAAAAGTTTGTCAAACTATCTCCGACATAGTTCGGGAGTACAGAGTAACACACCGGAGCACATAAATCTCAAATTTTCCCCTTGACAGTTATGTATTCAGCGTTATTCTCAAGTAAGATTACACTTTTTTCTGTTCTCATTCTGTCACTTCCTTTATATTGTTGAGAGCCTTGAAGCGTCTGGATGTAGACGAATTGGATAAAATGTTTCAAATCATACATGTGTTTTTCTGTTAGTCTCCAAGAAAAATTAAGCGGAATAAACGATTTATTCATTAAGATTTCTGTGAAAAACTGCATAAATCAAAGTGTATTGTTGAATGTTTCATGGAGCAGTTGAATGATGAAGCATAGTTGTTTTAAATATTTATCATCTATTCAAGTGCAATAGTCTCTAATTTGAAGATAAAATAAAAGCACATATTTTATATTTTTGTATTCAACTCTATGCTAGAAATTCTTGTTTTCTTTCTGATTATCGATATTTAAATTTTTCAAAAACATCTTGAACTTTATAAAGTTGTTAGCAACTAAAATAAATAAAAACTCTGATTTCTTTCTGGTTTATATGAAAACATAAAGAGGCTTTTAAGACTTGATTTAGTTTATTATTTAGATCGAAATGCGTATGAGTCTATTTGATCAAGATAAACATGGAGGAATCGAAATCAGAATGCAATCATTTCGTAGAAAAGATACTACTTCACTTGTCTATGTAAAATGTAAATTTATTTGAAACCTAAAGGTTTTCGCAGAAAACGGCTATGCTGACTATAAGTGCGAGAAACTTCCAAGTCTAATTTATTGTCGACTTCATAGATCTACAGGAAATTATCCTGCGCCTAAATCTATTTTTCTTTTTTTCCAAGTAAATAATTTTCTTGCCAAGTATAATAGTTACCAACTAATTTCATATCAGATGTATAAAATACGATCACATATCTAATGAAATGATTTCAAATCTTACATTCGAACTACAGCCTTACAAAGTAAGTGGGCATTCTCATAGCATAGGCAATAGCGCGTCTCTAGCTTTTCGTAATCACAGTTTATAGCGCATTTTGACAAGCTCTTGATTAGCTCGTTTACACACACTGCTAAAACATAAATTACTGTTTCAGATAGATTATGAGTAGACGATTTGCTGAAAAATCAAGCTCGTCAAGTTGTACATAGCCAGAAAGTGATGAAAAAATTTAATAAGTACTCTGTGTGACTCAGAGCTTCGAAGCTTTTAAGATGATCCTCCTAAGACCTGATTTATTTTCATGGTGTTCTAAGTTCTGCATATGATGGGCAATTTGAATTTGCGGCAAAATCGATTTCATTAAAATCATCTCTATTTGTGACAAAATAAAAACTGTACTAGTATACCGCTATACTATACGATGGGGTACCTAG